ACTTCGCTGAGTTCGATGAGCAGCGACGACAGCGCCTACGGATCCGGCAGACGTGGTGAGTCTCGCGAGCCCAATGGTCTTCTCAACACCGCCTCCTCAACCTCGTCCACCGATATGGACCATGCACGCGTCATCAACACTGTTAGCAGGACCTCATTTACCTCGACCACACCGGCCGTGTTTCTCCCTCAACGTAAGTCATTGGTCTTTGCTTCAAGACTTAACAGATCGTTGCGTTCGTCAGGCAACACAGTCATAAATCACTGCAAGGGCTGGAGACGGCCGCCCTCGTAAGAAGCATCTGAATTTCTCGTTTACTTGGCATCAGTCGGTTCAAAAGCTGAAGGGTTTTAGATGTTGTTTACTTTTCAGTGTATGACTCCTGTTGCAACCGTAGATAAGGCTAAAAACGTTACAGCACACCATAGCTCCGAGTAGCAGTGAATGGTCGTTTCTGGTTCGTGGCAAGCGCCAAGATATTTTTGCAAATCGAAAGCACCCGTTTCAGGGCGTAATAAGCCCTGAAACCCCTATTTCCATGATGAATGCTTTCGTTTCATACGAATTCGTATCTTGCCTCCTTAAACTCTTTTTTTTCATTTTATTCTCCTTTTCTTTTTACTGTTTTCTCTAATTTACCTTTACCATGTCTTTCATCTTCTTTTCGTTCTTTGTATGTTTTTCAGTTTTCTTTCGGGACCTACAATGGTCTGCAATACGAAGGAGGCAAATAAATGATTCCAACAAAAGAAACTTCCTAATAAATTTGTGATGGGATTTAGCTTGCTCAGCATGGCGAAAGATATATGCTGTGTTCCTTTATCACAGTAGTCTAACCAGCACCATGTAAAATGAATCCGTTTTATTATCCAGGGTTGGACATCAGTGATGCTAATTCTGTTTAGCTTTAGCCAATCATCCCGAGTACTACTAATTTCTCAGATCAGCTATATTGCTTGTTTCACCGGTCTCTTCGCTATCACAAGCTTAAGCAGAGTTTGAACAATCCCTTCCTTGGTTTAATGATGCTGGACCAAATTGAAATTGACTCCCTTGTTTCAGATCTACATCATGCCTTACTAGCTGTCGTGAACCAGATCTTGCTCTTTACCTGAAGCAGGTTTATTTTCGATGGATATTTTTTACACACTTATGATAGATAGCAGTTATTTATTTCACAACGAACATATGACGTTTACACCACACCTTTTACACTCTTTGTGGACAACGATAACGCACAGGTTGAGGACAAATGAGGAAAACGGTCAACATGGAAATATCTTTTCTTCTGCATGACCATCATCAAGCTTCAGCGCGTTATGAGGCCGCATTTCTGTGTTTCTTTGCTCATTCAACTCAGGAAGACAACAAGGCTAGTCAGTGTTATCTTATGATACTGGCCTTTCACAGTTTGCGGAACACTTTCGCACTGAATTCCCAAAACTTGGGGGTAAATACAGTTCATTGCGGAAAAAGCATTCAATGCCATGAGGATTCGCATCGGCTCAGGGAGCAACCGTTATTTTCTCCCATAGCTTTTTATATTTCGTTTTCGATGAAGCCCAACGCCACACAAGTGCCGCGGGAGAGATACATAAATTGGCTATACATATGCGACGAATTTCACGCGACAGATGGTCGTCAAGGACAACTGGAGCCGACAATGTTAAGTACCCGGCAGCCCGTATATGGATCGATGTACAGGTTGTGAGTTAGTCGACCTATCGACGATAGTTTTTATGCTTGTGGCACTTTCGTGGCTCACTTTGTGCGAGGGTCAGACCTTCATAGCCAAGCAAAGAACAGTTCTATTAAATAGGGCATTTGGAGCAACAGATGGCGGCGGTGGCATCAGGGCTGTCACCTTCGGGCTCGTTACAAGTCGTTTATGGCATCGGCATCGAACAAGAGGGAATATGTCTGCGAAGCTGGTTTGAATGGGATAAGGCGCCAAAAGGTGCCGCTATACAGAACTGGGTAAAAGCGGCTCGCAAGAGCGGTATCATAGCAGGAAAGATATCATAGCATGGCAGGAGTTTTATCGATCGCAGAAAAAATAAGTAGTGGGGTAGATTTAAGCTGTAAGCACTGTTTCCTTCGGAGAAGGTTTCCAATTTGTCTAACATCGAAAATTAGTAACAGTTTATAAAAATCAAATCATCACAAATGTTTCGTTAATTTAGTAGTTACTGGTCGAAGAATTGAGTGATGCGCGAAAATTCTGAATCCGGAGTAAGGACCTCAACGAACTTACATCCTGAGGTAGCGCATCGTCGGTGAGAAAGGATAAATTTTGTACAATGGTGAAGCTAACGCATAAACATCATAAGTTGTTCGTGCGCAGGAGTATGCCAAATGACGCATAACTATTCCAAAACCCGATTTCACGACATGTTACACCGTTCCCTTGCTCGTATTGCCTACGCGCACCTAATATTTTGCCACATGCAGTGGGAATAGAAGAATGTTCACATCGTTTCTATGCTGTGCATGAAACGGAAACGAAGGAGTAGTTAGACACCGTTTCAATGTTGATCTTTCTTCACCTTCATGATTTGCCCATGTTCGCGCCCTTCTTTTCATAGAGCTCATGGCATGATGGCTATCTCTAGTTCATTGCTCACCGGCAGTGCCTCATTTTGCCGTGAGTAAATGGATGAATCAATGAATTGCAAGGAATCGGTATGACGTTTTATCTTAAGACTTGTTTTTGTGCATCGGACTCAAGGATTTTTCATCTGTATCGGGTATAAGCCGGCGATTGCTCTTTTCCTGAATCCTCCTGGTACAGCGCTGAACTTCTGAAGAAGAAACGTTTACTGCTGGCTCAACAGTGGTTTTTTTTGCGCACGCTTTTTTATAGAGAACCACGGTTTGCATCATCATGATAAATCGCCGTTCTTCATTGTCTGAGTGTAGTTCAGCGTTCTGTTTGTGACTAGCTTATTCGATATTTTAGCGAGTTCCGATCCTGTAACCTCGAAAACTAGAAGAAAGGGCATCACAGTGAGACATGCCGTTACAGAAGCACAAGGATAAAGCAAAACATAGACTCATGGACAGTCAAAGCATTAGGTAGAAAACGTCAGCGAGAAGCATGCTAAACGGCGTCTCCCCAGAGTAAGTCTCAAGTTTAATGAAACACTAGTTTCAAATTAGGTTTCATAAATAATTTCTTGAGTTATATATTTCTTATTCATTATTTAAATAGTTTACAAAGACCGATGAGTTTGCGACTGCTGTCAAGTCCATAGCCAGATCCGCAACGATGTTCCATCCAATCGCTGTAAATAACTGGCTGAATAGGTCAGACTTGGTGTAGCTACCTTCTCCTTTTGAATCAAGCCTCATTAGCAC